CTCATATTCAGTCTGTAGATTTACTTCATATTCAGTCTGTGGATTTATTTCATATTCAGTCTGTGGATTTACTTCATACTTCATATTCAGTCTGTGGATTTACTTCATACTTCATATTCAGTCTGTAGTACTTCATATCCAGTCTGTAATACTTCATTCAGTCTGTAATACTTCATTCAGTCTGTAATACTTCATATTCAGTCTGTAGATTGACTTCATACTTCATATTCAGTCTGTGGCTCCTTCTTCAGCCGCTGAGCTCGGAGAATGCGCCTGCACGCGGAGCATGCGCACTGCTTGACATTTTCAAGTTGCTTCTCCGGGGTGTTCGAACAGGAAGGCGGACATGTTGGTCGAGCTGTGGGAGAAATTCGGGCACCGTCTGCTGTTTTTTTTTTCTCTTCTGCGAAAAAAATCAGAACCCGACCTGTGAGTCTTCGATCTGAGGGACAGAGCAGCTCGGAAGGGAACCGGTCGACAGCCGGTGACAGTGCCCGGGAAGCAGCAGGGGGACAGCCGTCAAAACGCCGTTACGAGTCCTCGGTTAAACTGATCGAAATTTGGAAGAAGCAGAAGTTTTTTCCCCCGCAGCACTTCTACTTTTGAGCTGTCAGATTCGTCCGTGTGCAGGGGCCTGGCTCCGGGATGGGAACCGGCCCGGACTGACACAGACCCCGCTCCTCAGGGGGACTAACTTTTTAACTGGCTTTTGTTTGGATGCACCAACATTTTAAGCTCTTCTCCTCGGTGGCATCCTGCGGAGGCTGACTAATCTGTCGCCGCGTTTATCGTTTTGCTTCTGAAGTTGTTTTGTCACTCATACCGGGGGGGAGGTGGAGGAAAAACCCTCTTTCGACGCCCGACATGTGGCTTTTGTATATTCAGCGCAACCTCAAGCGTTTCATCGTGTGTGGAAGCTCCGGGAGAACAATGTATTTTCTGTGAAGCGGCGGAGTGAAGTTCACGCGAAGAAAGGAACATTTGGCTAGCTAGCTACCGCTGGCTGCTAAAGCTAGCTAGCCAGCCCTCTGCCTCGCCACCGAGCTGTTTTTGTTCGTAAGCCCCCCAAAACACCGGGACTCAATATGACAGCGAAAATGTCTGCCGGGGAAAGTATGGAGGCTCGATTCGAAAAAATCGATGCCATGTTGAAGGACCCCAAGTCGGAAATAAACACGGATTGTCTTCTGGTAAGTTTGTAGCTTGCTAGCCGGCTAGGTAGCTAGCAAGTCAGCCATTCGGGGTCAGTCTACTCCTTGGAGCAGACCAACAAGTCGTTGTCACTGAAGAAATGTGTTGACTCGAACAGGCTATTTTGTCTCACATGCTTAACTCCAGATACATGTATGTTTATTTAATATAAGATTATAAGACCAGAGCACAGCCATCACTTTGAAAACCCATTTTCACACACTCAGATCCTCTCATAGCCATAAACAATGAGAGTGTAATTGCCAGAAATAGGATTGTTACTCAACAACACTGTCACTTATTGATAACTTGGCTGCACTTTAGGAGATGAACACATGTAAAAGCAGTGGAAACTAAATATGTCTGACAGATGGTCACCGTGTGTCCCTTCTTCACACTGACACACAAACACTCTGTCAGATTGATTTTGGTTCAGGCCAGGTAAAATAAATGGTGTCATGAAGTCTGATCAACTTCTGGTCTGACTTCCCCTGCCACCCCCACAAACTGATGATGGCTTGTGTCGTCAGTGAAGTGGCTCGCAGATATTAGGAAGTAGGTGGTTAGGTGTGTTGTTATGTCTAGATTTACCTATTGAAGCCTCATTTGAAGTGATCGGCTGCCATGCAAGCCTGTTGTAACCCCCCCTCCCCCCAAGCTGCATCTGTACACCTGTTGGCTGGAGTCTGCTTTCTGTCTATGGGCGGAAGAACTCACAAGTGACTCTCCTTTCTGAGGGAAAAGGGTTGCTCCTGCCACGTGCAACAGCAACACCTCCATGGGTTTTATTTTACACGGCGGCAATCCCAGGAACTGACTCACTATGGAGTGGATGCCAAGGGGAATGTTGTTCTGTCAAGTGTTTGTTGATATCATGAGCCTCTCTCAGCTTGGGTGACACTGCCACTGAGTGTTTTCTCAAGGATTGGGCTCTGGGTGACTCATGAGAGTGGTTGCTTGTTGATGTATGGGGGTGATTACCTACGGTTCGATGTTCAAACGAGCAAGGACTGATCTTTGTGCAGTAGTTTCACTGTAACTTGAGTGTTATGCACACAAGGTCATACTCCTTGATTATTAATTTCTCTATCTTGATTGTATGGTATGGGACATATTATCAGGCAAAGGGACATTGGGATAGCAGTCTGTTTTGGGAAGGGGGCTTGTCCTAAAACCCCACCCACCAACCCGATTTGGTGTGTTTGTGTATAGCTTGCTGGAGATAGCTGTCTTTTGAAAAGCAAAACTTGCTTAGTCTCCCTGACCTCCCATCCTGTTGCAGAAAAGGCCAATTAAACTTACCTAAAAGTGCACACGTTCTGCATTTTTAATGGCAAAAAGCTGTGGGGACTGTTCCTGTTGGCAGCCACACACACAAGGGTGTTGTTCCTCTTTCCCCCCCCCTCTCTGCAATCTCCCCCTGATCAATGAATGGAGGCCTTTTGCTGAGGCTCTCTCTGCCACCATGCAACCCCACCCACAGCTTAATAAAATTCCATGCTAATCAAATAACCTCTTGTCTTTGACTGGCCTGGAGTTCCCTGTGTGTCCCAAAGCCATTCTGCACGTCTGGAGAGAGTTGAGAGCAGGCAGGCATCTCTGAGGTAGCTGGGTGTGGGCTCTGCTCTCTACCCATAAACCAAAATTATGTGGACTGAAGACTCATGTTTCTGAAGGCTATGAATCAGGACATTTAACTCATAAAGCAGCCAGCATGCTTGGCTATGAGTAATAGGTTCCATCAGAATGCACAATACAACCCTTTTACTGGCCATGTTTCTGTACCTGGGTCCTGAGCTGCCAATGCTTTGTGTCTTAAGTAAAGCACTGTTGGGTTTACACTTTTTCCCACAGAACCCTGGCCTGTGTTGTGTGACGGCGACACATGGCCTGCACCTTACCACTCAGCTCTGGGCTGGCCTATCGAGCACCGTATTCCAGCCCTGTCGCTCTTATCTTCACCCAGTAAATAAATCCTGCTAGTAGAGAAGAGTGCCTTATCTGGATGGGCTGCCCCTTCTCCAATCATTGTGCTCCAGACAGGCTTCTAAGAGCCAATCTGAACAGACAAAATTCCTGACATTGTGATGTGAATGCTCACTGACATAAGGGGACTGAACATTGCCCATATATGTCTGTTGTTGTTAGCTGTCAATAACTTCCATCAAATCATTTTAGCGATTGATGTGTTCGTATGTGGAGTGAACATGGTGGAACTGGTGCGCTTGTGAAAACACAGAGCAGAATTTCCTGGTTGCTTTCGCACTTGCTCCTAATGTGGCACAGTCTGTTTATCATTTGGTGAATTAGCATGTTTGAGTTGATATGTTGGAACTTGTTTTGCAAGGGCTTTGTCTCTATTCGAGAAATATAAAGGCTTCCTGGCATAGTCTTTGTTCTTACTTTGACACTTGGGGTCCATTAGTCTCTCTGTGTTTTGATCTCTCTTTCATCTGCTATTTGGACTCCAAATCTGTAATAAGGGTAATTACAGGAAACTGCAAGGCCAGTAAACCACATTTGTAGACAGTGATTGACTGTGTGAATGCTGCATTCACATGTTGGGTGGGTAGTCTTATTTATGCTGAAATCGCAAAAAGGCAAAATTAGTTATTGCAGTTTTAAGGTTATGAGTGGAAACAACTGTTCTATTAATGCATGATTTGTAGGTCAACACATGCCAGTCATTACCACTCAGATTAGATTCCATCACACAGTATCAGTGATGATTGATTGAAGTTCATTGCATCATACTACAGTGTTTGTCTTTGAAACCAATGAATGGTGCTGAGTGGCATAAAAAAGCAGTTGCAGTTTACAGTTACAGTCATAATGAGCAAAATGAGCTCAATTCTCAGAGTTTCCATATTCAAAGGAAACTATCATATAGCAAAACCAGGGCCTATACATGTGGCTGACAGGCAGAAGGGCAGTTCATTCACTACTGCCCAGACTTCAGCCTTGAGATTGAGTTGAAGATCCATTTTCCTGACATGCCTTCTATTTGCCTTTCATATTTAGTGTGCTACCATTCATCATGACTAACAGTTGAGTACATTCAATCCTCTTTGTTGAGTCCCTGCCCTTGTCTCAGTGACCTTTGCCTTTACTGGACAAGCCTTACCTGCAAGGTGTTGTTTGCACGTATGCAGCTGTGGTCTATATATATATATATATATATCCCTCTGCTAAAGCGAGTGACTCGTCAGTCAGGAGTGTTGACAATACATCTTTTTACAGCATGCATGCAGTATTTTTTATGTATAACCCATATGTAAAACTACAAAGATTTAGTAAAGTCATATCATATAACCTCATTTAGACATATTTGGTCATTCATTTATCATGAGATGTGAAAGTATTATTCTTTGAAGGACCCTACTGGTGGTTGTGTATGTTTAAACATGTATAGTTGTGTACTGCATACAATTTGTTTACCTTAGTCATGTGACCATTCATTAAAGGTTTTAGATAGATTCACCTTCCAGGGAGTTATGCCACTGCAGTCCAGTCATCTCCTTCTGTATTTGTTCTAAATGATAATGATCACGACCTAAATGCTATGTCAAGGTTTAGCATATGTAGTATTCACTTTACTTGTGCACAGAGACAAATTTATGATAACTGAGATAAATAGCCTTTGTAATAATGCCAGTTGACACTGACTTGAAAGCTTCGTGGAATCTTGGATGCCACAGTAACTGTCTAAAATACTGAACTCTCCAAGCTTCGTTCATTAAATGATGAATAACATCTTAAAGAGGAAATGCATGTGTTTGTAGTAGCTGTCATAGTCGGCATGTAGTCATTCCCTATTGTCAAAAAGGTTTGGGGCTGCCAGTCGTAAACTGCTCTCCTCAGCTATTCAGCTTTGAGAACAACAATTGGCCGAGTCAGTTGTAGGTCTGCATTCCCTCAACTGACTGATTATGTGCAGGAATGCATACTAAAATGATCCAGTCTTTTAATAGCTGAATGTTTTTCTCTTTGATTCACCAATTGACCTTAGGAGTCTCCAGCCTTTTTTTTCTCATCTCATCTCATTTCTTAAGGGCCAGTTAGTTTGTCCCACTTACAGATGACTCTGCGACCCCTGGCCGGTGAAGATGGTAGACGTGAACTCGAGTGGATGCTTTAATAAGATGCCCATTTGCCGGGGTGAGGTCATAAATCGTGGGCAGCGCAGGCAGGACAGCAAGAGTTTTTTTTTTTAAATTTGAGAAGCCAGAGCTCAGTCAGTGGAAACACGTGAGTGCTCTCCGCTGTTGAAATAACTCAATTACATTCTGACATGAAAGCGTTTGTGACAGTGGCTCTCACTCACTGGGACTCAATGGAATGCCCTTGTTTTGCCACCCCTGGGTTCACTGTCACTGCTGCTTATCCAGTAGAGTTGTTAGTTATGAAGTCCTTCTAGGTAAGTGGGATTTCCTGTCAGTAGATATTATGTAGCACAGCAGGAGTGTGCTAAAGGAGTTTGGACCAATTGCTTAGTTACAGACACAAGTGAAACTGTCCCTGTTGGCATCGAGAATGTACCAAATAAAGTAAGTAGTGAGGAAGCAATGTGGTATTTCATGCTTTGAATGGCTTCATTGGATTGTATGATCACATTTGCAGCCTGCCATGGACCTGCCTTTATTTGCATGGTGAGCTGAATGGCTGTCTGTGCATTTGCTCACATGTGGAAAGCATATTGTCTTGAAGAGGTGGCAGAAAAGGAAGTGAGAAGTGGGGCTCGACTCAGGCCAGTCCACATGCCTTGTGCTGGCATGCAGAAAGGGATGATGTGGCTGAGACTCCCATGGAAATTTTAACTCAGACCTTTAATGTCTGGAAAAGAGCTTGTGTGTTGTGGATTTCTCTCCCCTAAAGTTTAAAGAAATAATTGCCGTATGTAATGTCAACCACTGGCTTTGTGTGTATTGTGTAACTATACATTAAAAAAAAAAAAAAGAATTACCACATTTCATTAACAGCGCGATGAGATGGTTTTTCATGTTATTATTTAGTAATCCCTGGGATGTGTCGCCCTCTGCTTGAAGCAGCATCAGCAGAAATAGGATAACATAGAACCCTGCGAGCTCTGGTTTGTTTTCCCAGCTATTTTTTTCCCCCAAGACTGCCACATAATGAAACATAGCCTGTGGACTGCTACCGCCCAGTGCTTGACTGCTATCTCCCAGTTGCAATGAGTGAATGTGTGGTTTTACTCTGTCTCTAGTAAGTTGTGAGACTATTGTGTGTGCTCTTTAGTTATGCTGACTCTTTAAATTTGATAGATTGTCATACACTCTTGCCTTATTGATTCAAGGCAAATTCAAATTGGAAGAGGTTATCTCATTGCCTGAAGATTAGAGCCACATGCATTTACACTTAGGTCCTTGGTGTTTATCTGCAATATTATTGCATTTTTCCATTTTCTTCTGCACATTTTAATAACTGATGCATTTTCTTCTTCTTTTTGTGTGGAAAACAGACTCAAGCAAACCCCTGAGCCATTGGAAATTTCAGAGCTGCAGTAGAAATGCACTTTCACCTCTGGAAATAAATCTGAATTACTTGCTGACAAAGAATTTTGCCAGTGTCAGTTGCATATTTGTGAGTGTAGCCTGGGGCTGAGAGTGGTTTGATAGCTGAACCCAAACAACCGGAATGATCATAAATCAGTCACCAGAGGTAACATATGTCTCATATATATACTGAATCTGATGATCCTGTGTCTGTGTGTGCATATAGTGATTTAAACAATGCAGATGTATAAACAAATACTGAGGCTTGCAGATAAATGCACATGTGATGCATTCAGGTACACTTTACAGTGTGAATTAAATGAGCTATAATTTGATATGATATACATTTGTCTAAAGGTAGAGGTTTTGCAATTTGAGCAAAACTATGGCAATATTGTGTTTTTGCACGAATCACTGTCATATTGCATGTGCTTGTACCTGATCATTTTATCCATCAGTAGTTTCTCGCTTGATTTTTTTGTATAATTTACCATTTCACAAACATTATATTCAGAATTGCATCAGAGGATTGTATCTGTATTTACCACTCCTGCCACCTCTGTATTGCTGAACACAAATGCCCCTAATATTTTGACATGACTCCTCTTTCCACAAGGATAGCTACTAGACACCACAACAGAGTGGACTGTTACTGCTTTAAATTACCGACACATCTTCCATGTCTTATTTCTGTTCATTTCTTCTGTCAGTTATGTTCTATTTTCCAGTTGAATGTGTGGTCCTATTTTAAGCAACACTGGTTGGTTCAGCAAAACACTGAACATGGGTGCCTTCCGTGATTCTTTGTTTTTTCCTTCATTTGTTCTACAATTGGACTAGCCAGCCCCACATGCACCAACCTCCACTCCCTGCTCCTTTCCGTCAGTGTTAAGCTCTGGAACTGATTGAAAATAAGTCTCACTATGTGTGACTCTGTACTTGGGGTAGTTTTTTTTTCCTCTCCCTTCCTTCACTTTTTGTTGAGAACTTGTTTGGCCACATACCTAAAATAGCTCTCTGACGTGTACAGTCCTGTTAAGGAATGTTGCTGTGGCTGTCCAGAGTTCTCTGCGGCAGGAAGTTATGCAAACGTGCATTGCTGAGCACAGAGCCTTGTGATTAGGGTCCTGAAGGACTCGGTTCTTCAGTGGTTTTTTTTCCAGTGCAGGCTGGCTGGATACTGAGTGGCCAACAAGGCCCCTTTTTTCTCCCTGCACATGGTCTGTCTTGTGTAAACGCTCCCTCCTGAAAGTCAATTTAAAGTTTTTTTTCTTTTAAGCTGAGCAGATGATGGCTCTCAGCTCAGCATCCTCTCATTCATTTTCTACATTCTGTCTCCTTGAATGTCTACATTGCTCTTCTTTTCCCACCAGGCATTCTTCACCTACAATTTTTACTTCTTTCCCTCCCACCTGCCTTTTCCCCCTACTTCCACACCCATCCCAGAGGGCGTCTGCTTCTTTCATGTCTCATAGAAGGGGGGGGGGGGTTACTTAAGCATCAGAGTTACTTAAGAGGATTCCTCGCCTCGTCTGAGCTGCTGATTCACCATGTGTCATCATTGTTTTGCTCAGGGATGCAAAAAGAAACATGACATTGTTTCACAGATCATTTACAAGACAGGACTGACAGGATTCCAATAATTCCGAGGGCACACATGATAACAAAATAAATAAACTGTTCTTATGTAATTTATGGGTCACTCAGCCATAGTATATGTTTTTGAGAAAAATGTAGGCTAGTTGACTTGTGACCAGAAATGCTAATTTCCAACACCTAGCTCACTCCCACTTGAGTGAATCCATAACAGTATTTTGAGTTCAAGTGTTTGTGTGCCTGTCTTGTTTCAGCCATTCTGGATTATGGAAGATTAGATTAAATCCTGCCAGTGGCACTTGCTCCTGCCTAGCCTGAGGCCAGACAGCCTATACTGTGTGTGTTTGTTTACAACTCTTGAAATGCTAGTAACTGTCATATGGGTATTTATTTATTTCTTTTAACAACGCTACCGGTTTTTATAGTTTACAGAGGAGATACTTGTCCAGTCATGAAAGAGATTCAAATAAGGGTCAGAAACTGTCAAGACAGGAGTAACTCCTGTTACTCCAGTGGGTGTTGCAGCTGTGTATTGTAAAGTCACACAGTTGACCTCACTGTATGGTTATTCTAAGGCACCACCCTGATGCCTCAGTCATCAAAAGCTACTTAGTTTCACCAGCTGCTTTTATTAGAAACTCTGAGACCAGGGTGGGAAACGCAGCTTCTCGTCATCCAGCCAGTGACTGGTGGGTGTTTTTAATCTTCGAGGGAATTGCTGGCTTGCATTTAAGAAAAAAAAACTGGAGCACTAATGTGAAGCACACTCCTTTTTACAATGTCCATGCTTTCCTACTTGATTATTGGGTTTGTAGTAGTATTGCTGATGGAAAGCATTTCATCATCTGCCTGGAGACCAGAAATATCGATCTTTCTCAGCATACATGTGCTACATGAGCCGACTTTTGCTGCTTTCGGACATACTACGGGTATTTTCCTGAAATTATCTTGGAGGGCTATGTGTGAGAACACAAATGCCATTCTCTGCAGTATTACCTGTCAGCCCCCCTGCTTGAATGTCTGAGTGAGCCCATGTGAGAAAATACAGCAGGAACATTTCTGGAGAAGTTGATGATTTTTCTAACAATCGACAGACGCAAAACTGCTAAAACAAAAAGAACACAAAGAAGGCACAGATGAAGATGTCACCTTGATGACAAAGATATTTGAGAGCTTTTGGTGATAAGGGCAGGTGGCAGTGTGTTGTAAACACAAACCTTCCACTGGAATTGATAGGTTATGCCTTCTGTATGCCCTAGCCAGACACCACTCCTCTCCTCATATGTGAAAGGCTTAGTCTGGAGTATAATCATGCATGTTTTGACATCATTCAGTAGATCTTAGAGTCAATAGAGTTATTAATGACCTAAAAAAACAGCATGCTTACAGTAGGACTAAAGTTCAGGTATTTGTAATAAGCTAAAACCCTCCTAGTCTTAAGTAATGTAATCCAGGCTGGAAGCCCACAGCTCCATTTGTTTGAGAGTGCACTCAGAGCAGTTCTACAGGGCTCTGTTCATTTTTCATGTAGTGTGGGATGAAGCTGGAGCAGCTTTGTTTATTAACCTTTCTCCTCTCCCCTCAGGACGGCTTGGATGCACTGGTGTATGACCTTGACTTTCCTGCCCTGAGGAAAAACAAGAGTATTGACAACTTCTTGAATAGATGTAAGTAGCCCACATCATGCTTTCCCCCTACGTCCTGATCTCGCTGTATCTTTCACTTTATAACCATTTGTGTTTGCAGACCCCTGTTACATGTGGGTGTAAGCCTAGGCTCAGAAAAGAAGGCCGTTTTGGGTCACTGCCTCTATGTAGGCTTGGACACAATAGGTGTCTGCTGCTTAGTGTCCCCAACAAAGGGGCTTTCATAAATGGCTGGTGACCCACATGGTGCCTATTGCTATGGCTTCTCTTTTTCAGTGTCCACAGACTGGGGAACCCCCATAACCATGTTTTAGACAAAACAAAAAGCATCATTCGACGACAGAGGGAGGCTGAATGTAAAAAATTTATTTATTTATGATAAAATCCATATTGTAATATGATTACAGCCTGCATTTATAAAACATAGTTGTGGGATAATGTGACATTTGTCTCTTTAAGAGTTTAGTTGATTTTGTTTTACAATTTATTTAGATTTTATTTATTTTTTCTTATTTTATTAGTTTGAGGAAGAAACTAAACACCAGAAAACTGTATTTGAAATATTATCTCAAGCTACTAAACCCTTGGGCAAAAACTGCCATTAGGCATCTCCTCAATTTTTCTTGCTACTGTACTTTTGTGTGTAGCACCCAAGTGTTGTAAATGCATTGATGGATATGGACTAATGGACTGTCTCGTCTTGTGAGACACTGGACCTCAGTTGCATGCACAGCCCTGAAGGGCTCTTCTGTCTGAATTCTTTACTCCATACATTCTTTGCACTCTGAATGTATCAGCTCATTGCTCTACTGTATATCTGCTGGGACCTGCTAGAAATAATCCTCCTCCACCCCCTCACACACACAAATACATGTACATACAGTATGTTATCTGCAAAAGCAACATGAAATCCTATTTGTACCATTTGTAAACATGGGTTGTGTGTCTTTTTGGTCCTCTGGGATGATTTCAGTAAGGATCATGATCCCGGGAACCTCTGCACACAGTGGAAATGAGTCACACTCAAATGTTCTTATTCTAATAGCACATGGCTCGCGTTTTATTTTTAGATCAATTGAACTTGGACGCCCCCACACAGCTCCCCTTTTCCATGTTTTCCTGTGCCAGTTGTGACCCATGTGAATCAGAAATGATCCTTCTCATCCAGCTATGACCAAATTTGGGTGAACACTGAATTGTCTCCCATCGGGGAACCAGCATTGTTAAATCAGGGAAATGCCAACTCTCAGTAAGCAACGAACTTTGCTTGAGCGACATTTCTCAGCTGTGCAGAGGCTCTGTCAGATTTGTCTGTTCTGTTTGCCAGCATATTGGATGTTCTTAGGAAAGTCTGCCACAGACATGTGGACCTGACACATAATGTTAGATAATGAAAACAGGGTGGCAGTGTATGGGAGAGTGATATTGTAAAAATATAACCCCTACACACTGTTTTTTAATATATCAATAAGAACAATCTTCAAGCTCTCTTGGGCATATTATACTGTATTACCTTCATGCCATTGATTACTTCGAACTATAACTGTGGCTGTGATGCTTCAGTGCACAACACTTCTCTGAGAGGTCACAGCATCGTTCCCTACATTAATTCAATTTTCTTTAACATTTGCCTTTGCTTGTTTTTTCTGCTTGTTTGTCAGATAAGGAAACTATTAGTAAAATCCGTGATCTACGCATGAAAGCTGAAGACTATGAGGTGGTTAAAGTTATTGGGAGGGGTGCGTTTGGAGAGGTGCAATTGGTAAGTAAGCCATTTTTTGATTGTGATTGTTTTACAGATAACACTGTATCTAAGAACTTCTGATACACTTAATATATTTTAATTTCTGAATGATAATATATTTCTCATTCTCTGCTCACCTTACGTTTGTGAGAACATCTTAAGTAACCCTGACTACATTTGCGTTATTTTTACAGGTAAGACACAAAGCCACATGCAAAGTATACGCCATGAAGCTGCTGAGCAAGTTTGAGATGATAAAGAGATCGGATTCTGCTTTCTTCTGGGAGGAGAGGGACATCATGGCTTTTGCCAACAGCGGATGGGTGGTGCAGGTATGATTTGTCAGATAATCAAATAGATGAGATTTAACCTTGTTTAATGTGATTATATGCAGCACACACATAATTAAATACTCAGCAATGCTCGTTTACGTGGTAGTTTTTGATGTATTGATTGTTTTTCTCTAATCATTTCTCTTTTTTATTCCACAGCTCTTTTTTGCTTTCCAAGATGACCGCTACCTCTACATGGTAATGGAGTACATGCCTGGTGGCGATTTGGTTAACTTGATGAGCAACTATGACGTCCCCGAGAAGTGGGCCCGCTTTTACACAGCTGAGGTGGTGCTAGCTCTAGATGGGATCCACTCAATGGGCTTTATTCACAGGTAATAATAAAACTTCTCCTTATCTGCAAGTGTGTCATGTAGGATGTTTGTTTTTATACCTGGGTGGTGCACACTTACGCCAATAGCTGAACTGAATATCAAAGAATAACTTTGTTAGCTAGTTATGTCTACCTTTCTCTCTCTTGTCTTTTCTGTCTCTCTCCCTCTTGAAATTTGTTTTTCAAATTGGCTTCAATCAAAGATATTGATGTGATACATTTCTAATGGAGCAGATGTTTCTTTCCTCTGTGAGGCCGTTCTTCAGTTTTTATTGTCTGTTTGGAAGAGCTCCTGAAACCTTGTCCAAAGCAAATGTCTGGAATCATTTATCTGTTTTGGTCCTTGACATTTGTGAGATATGAAGTAGGATGTAGTGGGTTTGGTGTTAACCTATTTAAAAAGCAGGAAGCAGTCCAGGGACAAAGGCAGTTCTTTAGCATTAATGCTCGCTGGTGGTGTACGCACTATAGGTCTCTACTTGAGGTAATAATTGTTTTCAAAACGGAGACTTCATAGACTTCTCCATTTGACTCTCAAACCAGTGTTAGGCTTTAATATGAGTTGTAGTCCCTGTAAATGTTGTTTTATTTCAACAATGATTTATGAGATTTAAATGATCTATTAGAGTTGCTCCTGTACAATTCAGTTCTATGATGCTGCCTGTAGATCTTAAATATCTCTTGAACTACTAGGGGAATAAATCTCTGCACTGGATGACGCCACTTTATTTCAATACACAACAGGGATGAAATGTTTTATTTCTCTTTTATTAAATGGTTACTAATATTATTCTTCACTCTGAGTTCTTTGCACAGCTGCAGCGGTGGAAAACTCACACCATGACAGATGTATTAAATAGTTCTCTGCTGTTTTCCCATTAGCTTGCTGAAAGTTGTTGCGAAAAGAAATTTCACAAAGACATAAATTCCCCTCTCTCAATTCCCAGCTCCCTTCATACCTCATTACATGTGACCTATCGCTGCAGTGTAGCACCTTCACACAGTCATGATTTGGAGAGCTGTTTCATTAATGGTTCCCTCAAGCTGCTCTAACCTTAACTGCACGCATACAATCCTGCAAAGTGCTTCAGTTTTCTAGCGATATGCTTGAGTTTGATGTATTTATATTCGTTTGATATCACTTTATATTTGTTTCTGCAGGGACGTGAAGCCTGATAACATGTTGCTCGACAAAGCAGGCCACTTGAAACTGGCGGACTTCGGGACCTGCATGAAAATGAACAAGGTATCACATTCAGTTTCTGTCACATTACATTGACAAAATATATTAAAAGTAAATTCAAGTCATTATGATTAGTTTGATTATCATCAACATTTTTTAAATAATTACGTTGAGAGATTTGTTCTTTTAGAAAAATATAAAGATTGTTTTGAATTTATTTTCTTTCGTCAGGATGGTATGGTACGATGTGACACAGCAGTGGGAACTCCAGACTACATTTCACCCGAGGTACTGAAATCCCAAGGAGGAGATGGATATTACGGCAGAGAGTGTGACTGGTGGTCGGTGGGAGTGTTCCTGTACGAAATGCTAGTTGGTAAGTTGCCTTTCTCAATCAATATCAATATCAGTATCGCTGTTTATGTTTGATGATATGCAGCAAAATGAAAAGTTTTATTTTATAGAATGGACAATCCCGAAAATATGTGTATTTATGTTTACATTTCATTAAAAAAATTTTTTTGTCTAAATTCAAGTTCTTTAGATTGGTTGTATTTGTGTTTTCTTTTTCTTTTTAGTTATTATAGTAAAGCTATTGGTTAAAATGTAAAATGTAAAATATCAAGCCTCAATTACATTTCTTTGTCGTAAGGTTTGATAACATCTTGATAGACATTGGAATTTTTTTTTTCAAATATATATACACCTTAATCCTTAACATCTGTATCAGCATATCACCATTGCCTGACCCGTAGTTATTATACCAATCATAAATCTTACCAATAATATGAATATGATGGTGTTTTTTAGAATTATATCAAAAACTATGTAAAATTTGAAACAGAAACAGATTCTGTATTGTTTTATCTATTTCCAGAGTTTATGCTTTATTGAATTTCCTCTAACCACTGGCTCTTCTTTGTCTCATGCTGTGCACAGGCGACACGCCATTCTATGCAGACTCACTGGTCGGGACCTACAGCAAAATTATGAACCACAAGAATGCCCTGACCTTCCCTGAAGACAGCGACATCTCCAACGATGCCAAGAATCTCATCTGTGCTTTCCTGACTGACAGGTCAGAGAACTACAAAACCAGAAATGGATCATGAAGAGGGTCCTTATCTGTAGACCCTCTCTTGTCAAGTGTTTTCTGGTGTAGAGGACTGTCTGTGGAAAGAATCTAGAAAGAAATATTCATAATACAATAGAAGCTGCTCCTTTTTTCAGTTTGTCCTTTTAACCCATTTAGGGAAGTCCGACTTGGCCGTAACGGTGTAGATGAGATCAAGAGGCATCCTTTCTTCAAGAATGACCAATGGACATGGGAGAATATCAGAGAGAGTAAGAACATTTTCACTGCTGAGATTACAGATTAATTTCACACCTTATATTTCAGTTGGCAGTCTGCTCTTTGTTATTGCAACTGTGCAGCCAGCGACCATGTTTTCCATTTGACCTACTGCAGACAGTTGCAGGAAATTCTTGTAGACGAGCCATTCATTCAGCATCCTATCCAAGACTAAACGTGATTACTGGCAGCGCTGCATTTTTGGGGCCAACAACAGGGGAAGTAGCTCAATGCAAATGTTAATGCGCTGGGATTGACACTGGAGCAGAGAGAGAGATTAGAAATGTAGGGCTGAATCCAGCTGCAAGAGTTGGTCCTTTAGTGGCTTTATATTTAATGCTTTACCAGGCTGGAGTCAGCACTTTGGTGTTCACCCTCCCCCTGTTGTTCCACTGGCTGATCAGCTCTGCGAGCTGGCTGTCTTCCTTTGAGTTTCAAAAGAAATCTGTGATCCAGAAAAACTCACTGGATTTTGTCTTTTATTTCTTCCAGGTATGAACCTCAAAATACAGCACAGATAAAAAAAAAAAAAAAAGATGTGTTGGTGAGAGAGAAAAATAAGTTGAAGTTGAAGAGAAAACCAAAGCATTTAAAGGCCTAATATGATCATGATTTAATCAATGGTTTTAAAAGGTTAAGAATGATACATTTTGAATTATTGACTGTGTCTTTACCACATAGTGACATGATGAAATGTGATGGCCCTTTTTTCCTGCATCATCATGAATCTACTATTTCTTTGTGCCACGTGCAGCGGCTGCTCCAGTAGTGCCTGAACTGAGCAGTGACGTTGACACAAGTAACTTTGACGACATTGAGGAGGACAGAGGAGAGGAGGAGACCTTTCCCATACCAAAGGCCTTTGTAGGCAACCAGCTCCCCTTTGTAGGCTTCACCTACTACAGCAATCAGCAGTAAGTCTGACACACTGCACTCTGTGTTCACGATTATGATGATACTTATACTTTTGAATTTATTGTAGAAGTACTGTCAGTTTTCAGTCTTTACTTTGACAAAGGGTTTTAGTTTGATACCCATATAAACTGTTCTTTTCTCAGCCTTTTGCGCGGCACCGCCACAAAGACCAGTGATAAACGTAGCAGCTCCACAAAGGAAGACAAGAGTCATGTGAGTAGAAGACCACAATTTATTTAGAAAAAAAATCTCAAGATACAGAACATCTGCCAATTTTCCATCTCATCTCATGCATTCAAATGACATGTTTCTGTTTAGCTGGAAAACCTGCAGAAACGAATCTACCATCTGGAGGAGCAGCTCCACAGTGAGATGCAGCTGAAAGACGAGTTGGAGCAGAAGTGCAGGTATGAAACGCGTCATTTATTCATACACAGAAATGCTGCTGGACTCAGAGAAAAGTTAAACCAGACTTCTGCATGTAGCAATGTACATTATTACATTTTCCATTACATTATTCATGTAACTTCTTCTACATGTATTTAAATATTTTTCTCTAACCCTGCTCTTCCTAGGACATCAAACACCAAGATCGACAAAATCATGAAAGAACTGGATGAAGAGGTTAATTTGCCACCATTTCTCTTTTTTATGGATAGATTATAATTTCATGATGTTGGCTGCTTTACAGTTATATCAGTATTATGAAACACACAGAGGCTCCAGTTTTTATGTTGTAATGAAATTAAGTTGAATAAGTTACGAGAAGTGGTTTGTTCCTGTCATATGACAACTGCTCTGTCGTTCTTCACCACAGGCAAACCTGAGGAAGAGTTCAGAGGCCAGCATTTCTCTGCTGGAGAAGGACAAGATCATGCTGCAGCACAGATTCACAGAGTACCAAAGAAAAGCTGACCAGGAGGCAGAGAAAAGACGCAATTTGGAGAATGAGGGTAAAGATAATGAGGTGCTGCTGATGTATGATTCAGACACTTTGCAATTAAAGTGTAATTGCAGAGTGAAGCGTTGGTTCATTCAATGTTTGAACATGGTAATGTCCTCATCCACTCAGTATCATTTAATGGATTACTGGGTATTCTGATGTGACCCTACTCCCTTTACTTACTATTAATAACAGATTGAGTTAGATGCTGCTAAAACATTCACATGTCTCTTTAAATTTCCCAAAGACTTGCTACAGAAGGTGGCACTAAATGGAATAACAAACTATTAGCTGTCAGAAGTTAAAACTCAATATACTTTGCACATAATATCAGGAATTTCCAGCTTTCCCTGTCTAATTTATTTTCTGTGTGTTTCTTAATAGTGTCAACTTTGAAGGAGCAGCTTGAAGATATGAGGAAGATCAGCCAGAACTCGCAGGCCTCAAATGACAAGATCACCCAGTTGCAGAATCAGGTACAGCACACACACACACACACACACACACACACACACACACACACACACACACACACACACACACACACACACACACACACACACACACACACAAATACAAATGTATCCTGGAGTAGTGGAGCACAAAACTTAGGTTTCTCTGACTCTTTCTCTGGCAGCTGGAGGAGGCCAACGACCTGCTGCGTGCAGAGTCGGACACGGCGGCGAGGCTGAGGAAAAGCCACACAGAGATGGCGAAGTCGATGAGCCAGCTGGAGAGTTTGAATCGTGAGCTGCAGGAGAGGAGCCATGCAGCAGACGGAGAAAAGGCACAGCTGGAGAAAGAGCTGCTGCTTCTTCAGAGCACGCTGGACTCAGAGAGGAGGAACTACAGCCAGGGGTCTGAGGAGATCAGGGAGCTGCAAGGTGACATATCGACACAGTAATGATGACATTGACATATGTGACAGCTTGAATAACTCTCAGTTGTATTGTTCATATTGTAAAATTTGATTTGATGTTGATCAACAGAGTAAAAAGTTTAGTTTAAAGAACTTTCATAGGGGAGTGTAAAACCCAGATTCCAGGGGACCAAAATATGCATTAAGGAAGAATTTTTAATATGTTTGTTCCAAATGACTCTTTAAGACTAATAATCTAACCCTCATTCAGTGATTTGAGAAAGCTGCACAAATTCCGTATATTAATAGTTAACCAGATCTCAATCTCCAACACCTGTCAGACAAGCACTGACAACACCCAGCAGCCAAACCCATCTGTGATTTATGTGTCGGCCATTTACCTTTTAATGGGAAACAAAAATTTGAAAGGCCTATAAACTAGAGGAGATCTAGGAATACTGGAGTCATTTTCTTTTATCAAACAGTATATGAAATTATATAGTATTGGACGCCCATGAAATATCTGAATAGCTGTGGAAGAAAAACTGATTTTGCAATGAAAATTCAAGCTTCATTTAATGAACACCATGATTCTGACAGTTATGTCTTCATTTTTCATTCACAGCGAGGATGGCAGGACTGCAAGAGGACAACAAAAACTTGAAGCTCAGCCTCTCGAAGGTGGAGGCAGAACGTAAACAGTCCCAGGAGAGGAGCAATAACCTGGAGAAGGTATACTATTCTACACTACTACACTAAAAGTAGTACTATTTATGCAATTTATGTACCTGCTTCTACCCTCTAGAATTATAACAATTACTCTTGTGTACTTTGAATAAGATATTTATGAAAGGTAGTGTGCTTAGTTTGCTTCATGATGTTTGCCTGGTGCTCACCCTCCCCTGCAGGAAAAGAACAACCTGGAGATCGACCTGAACTATAAACTCAAGACCTTGCAGCAGCGTCTTGAGCAGGAACAGACTGAACACAGGGTGACGCGAGCACAGCTCACTGACAAATATGAGTCTATCGAAGAAGCCAAATCAGCTGCCATGAATGGTATGCCAGTCCTATGTCAGAGCATGCCCTACATGCTGTATTTCCAACATGCTTTTTTCTTTTCTTTTCTTTCTACCATGTTGTTTTATTTTCTCTCTCTTTAGTTCATTTAACTTCTTCCTCACACTATCAGCCTCTTCCTGCTTTCCTTTTTTTCCCCTGCACTTGCATCAGATTCACCTCCAGGGGTGGTAAAGATGCAAGGAATTCAAGTAGTCAGTCAGCATGTCAGGACAATGCCTCATTGCATATTAATGCTGGACTCTTTTTTTGACAGTATAATGATGATGTGTCCAGGTGATTTCTTACTTTTCATTAAATGTTTGATGGAATCTAGGAGTCAAGCCTCTCCTTGGCTCATCTCTGTCTTTCAGATTTCATCAGTAAATCCTGAATTATTATTACCATTGTCACGTTGTGTTCTTGCATTTTCTTGTACATTCTTCGGTGGAAGGTAACTGTCAGATGTGGAACATATTAGAAAGATGCATTGTTGTTGGTGTGAATTCAGGGTTAAGTGTAGAGAGCGTTGAAATCATCATACAAGGGGTTTAGTTCACCTGATATTCTCTCAGCTAGAGGCCGCAAAGAATTGACTCTTGGTTTTTCATTTCACTTCTTTAGTTGTTCAGGTGAAGATGTCTGAGGAGAATGGAGCGAGAATGAGAGCTGAGAGCCGGGTAGTGGAGGTGGAGAAGCAGTGCTCAATGCTTGAGTTTGACCTAAAGCAGTCTGTGCAGAAGATGGAGCAGCTGATGAAGCAAAAGGAAAGGCTGGAAGATGACGTGAGTACTCCTTCTCACTCTAACAGTTTTCTTTTGTCTTTTTTTAAATTCACCTAAATCAAATAAAGATGTGTTATATGTTCTGCTTTTGTTTGTATGTGATGTCTCACCCCTGGTTGGTCATGTTTCTCCAGGTGAAGAATCTGCGGATACAGTTAGAGCAGGAGTCGAGCAAACGTGTCCTAGCTCAGAACGACTTGAAGGGCCGCACGCAGGAGGTGGACCGCCTCAGGTGTTCAGAGAAGCAGCTCAAACAGGAGATCAACACAGCACTAGAGAGTAAACGCTCGCTGGAGTTCCAGCTTGCACAGCTGACCAAGTGAGTGATCTTTTTGCATTAAATAGATAAAACTAGTTAAATCAAATTATTTCCTATTTTCTCATTAAGTACTCATCCACTACTTACATCACACAAGACATTGTCTTATTTGCATAAAATAAACAAATAAAAATAGAATATGAATGAGAATAAATAGACTTAACCCTCATGTTAAGTTTTCTTGGATAAATAGGAACATTTGAGGCAGTTGTCCTTCTCATTTTTACTCTCTAACAAACTAACAGTATCTGCAGCCAGGAATTCTTACGTGTTGTTATTGTCGCCCTGCCCGGTAATGCTCTTTGGAAGTCAAGGTGTAAATTGCCCTACAATTGCGTGTTATTTTCAAATAAGTGCTATTATTCCAGCTTAGGGGGTGACTATGCCAAAGCTGGTCTGTGATTGCGTTTACACCACAGGATTAAGGTTTTTGAGTCCAGCTCCATCCACTCCGTTGCTAATCCCCTGGCGAGCACAGCAGCCAATGCTGCTGGTTGTGCTGCTAGTTGCATATACTGCAGAGGGTGACTTAGAAGCCAGCTCTGTTTGCCTGGATAAGAGTCCTGTTTTGGAAGGAGTCCAATTTATGAGTGTAAAATAAGCCAGAACATGGATTTAATGAACAAATGAAAATGATGCACCTCATGATTTTGTTGATACAGACAATACAGAGGCAACGAAGGACAGATGAGGGAACTCCAGGATCAGCTTGAGGCCGAACAGTATTTTTCTGTGAGTATAAGTCCCCACATCTGCTCTATTTTAGTTATGAAACGTACACTTATTCGGTGTGAAATTCATGGTCTTATTTATCTCTGTCCTCTTTCAGACGCTTTACAAAACTCAGGTCAAGGAACTAAAAGAGGAGATTGAAGAAAGGAACCGGCAGGTACAAGACGCTCACAAAAAGGTGCAGGAGTTGTGTGGTGAAAGGTAAGAAACGGAATTATTAGTATTGATTATTGACCAATGACCAGCTAATGTAATGTATTGTTGATGTGTAATATGTCCTGTTTTATTTAACTATAAAAAATTATTTTATCTTGGACAAAGGGACTCCCTGTCTGCCCAGCTGGATCTGACAGTGACCAAGGCCGAGTCAGAGCAGCTGGCCCGGGCTCTTCAGGAGGAACAGTACTTTGAGCTCAGCCAGGAGAACAAGAAGGCAGTGACCAGACATAAACAGGAGATTGGGGAAAAGGAGGGAACCATTGCACGGGTGAGCAAAACCAAAAGTGCCTCTCCATCATGACAATATTTCGTTCTTTCAGGTCAGATGTAATAATACATTTTTTCTGTGCAGCTTGAGGAATCCAATAAAACTCTGACCAAAGATGTGGAGCACCTCAGCAAAGAGAAGACTGAATTGAATGACAAGCTTACTAATCAGAAAGATGGTACTATCCCTTGAATACACAGACCACACACAGAAAATGCTTAATTCTATGATTTTTAATTAAGAAATTAATCTGAAATGTTCAGAAAATTTCCTTAAAAAGTCCTTAAATTTGATGTTATAGAAGTAGTGTGATCCCTGTGATTACCTTTTAATGGCTCCTGCCATGTTGTACTTATGCTGAGCTTACTCCCTTTTCCTTCACAGAGTATGAAGCCCAGAAGGAGGAGATTGCAAATACAATCAAGGCCAACTATGAGAAGGTCCTCAACACAGAGCGAACACTGAAGACTCAGGTAAAGATGAACCATTTCACTCAATGGTTAACACTGGTAACGCAAGTGGAGAATGGTGACTGATATATCTACTTGAATCCATCAGGCGGTAAACAAGCTAGCAGAGATCATGAATCGCAAGGACATGAAGATTGACCAGAAGAAAAAGGGCAGTACTGCCGACCTGCGGAAAAAGGAGAAGGAGAATCGCAAACTTCAGCTGGAGCTTAACCAGGAGAAGGAGAAGTTCAACCACATGGCCATCAAGTATCAGAAGGAGTTGAGCGAGATGCAGGCGGTAAGTTACCATCTCAGGTTGCTGGAGCCTCCTGTCTGTGTTTTTTTTACATTGTTTATAACCAAAATTCTTTCATCTCCCACCAACAGCAACTTGCAGAAGAATGTACATATCGCAACGAGCTGCAGATGCAGTTGGACAGCAAGGAGAGCGATATCGAGCAGCTTAGGGAGAAACTGAACGACCTGCAACAGCGTATGGATAATTCAAGTGTCACCAGTTTGCAGACAGATGAGACCGACAGCAACCTCGCTGGTAAGGTCACAGTAGAGGCTAACTGGACAGTGCTGCTTCTCTAACACCAAAGAAACACAAGTGTCTTAATGTAGAAATATTTGAAAATAGTTTTTAGTAACTATATAGTTAAGAAATTGCCGTTTTCATCTTCTTCCTTGTGTGTTTTTAAAATAACATACTTTATATGCCAATTATATAGTCTGTTAAAGTTTCTTTTGTTAGGTCTTGATATATTGTGTCCTTGTCAATGCAGGTTGTACTATATGCAGATAAGATTCCAAATTAATATGAATAAATCATATAATTGGTACATTTTTACATGTTAAAAGCTGAGATGATCAGAGATTTATTCATGCACAAAATACATATTTGGTAATTCCATCTTTTTCTTTAACAAAATCTAACTGAATATGATCGTACCTTGTTCTAGGTCTATTTTCATGTTTTGCTGGTGTCTGTGTGGTTAAACAATTCTCTCTTTATTCCCCTCATGTCCAGTTGGTTCTCCTTGCTCTTCTTATCTTTGTAACTTCTATTCCTTTCCCTCTGTGAGTAACTGAGTGGACGAGCTCCGTTTGCCTGGCCTGTGCTGCAGCTGTCGTGTGTTTGTCTTTTTTGCCTCTGATTTTCCTTAGTAGTCTTTTGCCAGAGGTAATAGAAGCATCTCTGATGGGGGAATTCATGAAACACTTTTGAAAGAAGTCTTACAGAGTGCCTCATAAATTATATTTATAAGTTGTCAAAGCATTCTGATCAACCAAATTTATCGACTAACATTAACAGGATCTTAAGTGACGATGCTGTGAATTTGCGTGTCACGACAAGGTCAGCGCTAACGGTGAAGTAACCACAGTAGATGAGAGGTTACTGACTCCACCCTGTGTGAGGTTTACCACATCACTCTCAGCACCTTTCAAAACGTGTCTTGAAACTGAAAAAGTGTTTTTTTAAATTCACGGCACTGTGTGCTTCAAACACTTAACACTTTACTTATTTGTCGGCATGTTCACCCAGAAGTACTGCTCGTTCTGGAGACCTCCCTCACAGCGTCACATTAGCAGACAAGCCCCTCTTATTTCACTGCTCCTGTTTAGCTTGTGTTGTTCCAGCTGCATGCATTTGAAATTTTAATTTAACACCAAATAATCTTTGTTTCTATTGAAGGAGTGAGTGATCAAGCTTATTTGAAGACAATTAGCACAAATTCCTGCTGCAAAACTATTATTATACCACTTTTAACATAATTATGAAAGATAACATTTTCCATGCTCTGTTAACATGCTGCTAATATTCTCTAATATTTCCCTCCTGCGTGGGGAGTGTGTAGCAGCAGCATCTAAATTCATCTCTTGTCACCTACTCCAGTTACCTAAATGCTGGCAGAACTCCCATCAGGGATTCGCCTGGTGTAAAGCAACAATTACAATCTTTGTGAACTTCGTCTACCTTTTTTTTCCCCCCAGTTGAGTTTGGATTGAATCACTGCATGGCCAGTGTTTTTTAAGCACGTTGCATTGATGTATAACTTTTTCTACACGCTGCTTTTCAGAATCCAGATTGGAGGGTTGGCTGTCAATTCCTAATCGTGCTAATATCAAAAGATACGGATGGAAGAAACAGGTATATTGTGTTGATTTGACATTTCATGTGTTATGTTGCCTTAAAACAATATTGCTATCGCCTTGGACAATATCAGCCTTTCTTTTATTGTGTTTTAATGTTTGCAGTATGTGGTGGTGAGCAGTAAGAAGATTCTGTTCTACAACGACGAGCAGGATAAGGAACAGTCCAACCCTTCAATGGTACTAGATATAGAGTAAGTATTTTCTGGTCCTGTCCTTGTCACATGCCTACTTCAACAAAACAGAGGTAATAATTTCCCAAATTGGGATCAATAAAGTACATCTATCTATCTGAAGTTGCACTGCTTGTGCCTATAGGATTCACTAATATGTAATTGCTACTTTTGTGTCGTCTTGTGCAGTAAACTATTTCATGTGAGACCAGTCACTCAAGGAGACGTGTACCGGGCTGAGACAGAGGAGATCCCAAGGATATTCCAGGTACGAGGCTCTTTCCTGTCCTGGAGTCGTCTCTTGATTTTTAAATGTCTCTACTACATCTGATGTCAGATTGTCGCTCAGCCTCAGAAAGGAATATTTTAAGGCAGAGTTTCTGACAAGACGCTCCTTTATCTCTTGTTTTCAGATTCTGTATGCCAACGAGGGGGAATGCAGGAAGGAGGCTGACATGGAGACGGTCCCTCAGGGCGACAAGACCAACTGTTTCCCACACAAAGGTCACGAGTTCATCCCTACGCTATATCACTTCCCTTCAAACTGTGAGGCCTGCGCCAAGCCTCTGTGGCACGTCTTCAAGCCGCCTGCAGCCCTGGAGTGTCGCCGCTGCCACGTCAAGTGCCACAAGGACCATCTCGACAAAAAGGAGGACGTTATTGCTCCTTGCAAAGGTAAACTGCCAACACTAGTTCTTGCTGGTCTTAAGCTGTGATGAAAGATAAACATAATTTTACTCTAATAGGTTTGATATTTTATACATATAGTTACTTTATAGTTATAGATAATGAGTCGTCATTGAATATTAATGTTTAAGGTACTTTTCCAGTTGATGTTGAAGCCAGCAAGTAGACATGGCTGTTTAAGAGATTCACCAAAACTCTTAATGAGTTTGATTTGAGCAGATTTCAAAATGTTTTAATTGTAAGATGTATGTATAATGAATTTATCTTCCACTTAAACATGAATTACAAATCCAACAAATTGTCAATAAGCTCTTATAAAAATCCAATATATCCTGATAGGAATTTATAATTTGAGCCATTTTTAAAGCACAAATGGAAAAAAATATATACTGATTCTTAAAATGTTTTAAACTGTAGATTGATACAAACCAAACCATTGAAATGTATCCTTTTGTTTGGTAAAACTTTGATGGTCATTTTTAAAACAAGCTTTTATCGATAAGCCTCAGTTGCAGATTAATCTGATGTCATGTTTATGCTTCTCTGTCCACGTCGTCTTTGCCCGTCCCCTACAGTAAACTACGATGTGACCTCTGCCCGGGACATGCTTCTGCTCGCTCTGACACAAGACGAGCAGAAGAAATGGATTGGTCACCTGGGAAAGAAGATTCCCAAGACCCCGCCATCTACTTTTTCAAGAGCCTCTCCTCGTTCCATGTCCACTCGCTCTGGACCAAACCAGTCCTTCCGCAGAAACCCTAAAAGCAATACAGGAAAGCTGAGGTAACTTGACAATTTCTGTGCTTTTGAACTGTCTCTAATTATTTGTTCACTCTGGTTTTATATAAATGTTTTTTTTCAGTCACTAATGTTCAAATAGTTACAGCTAACTGCATGACCTACATAAAGCACTGTTGTATTGGCCGTTAAGTGAGGGTGTGCTGAGGTCACAAATCTTATTTTAGCCCGTCTGGAGGGCTGAGATGTGGTCGACTCAGTCACATGACCTGCTGTTTGTCTCCTGTGTTGTAGCAGAGCGCAGTCCAGCCTCCAAGCAGCAGACACAACATCCAGCACTTGTTGACAGGAACTTCTTCAGAAAGTGTTGATTTCTTTTTTTTTTTTAAAAAACGTGGTACTACACCTTAACCTCCACCTCTTTTAATACATATTTGTTGCACCTAATTTTTAGGAGACATTGTTGGAAGACTTTTGTCTCCAGCATTAAACTTGTCTATTTATTAATTGTGTTACCGGGTGCTTCTAACACGAGACACTTCCTGATTGGTTGGTTGGTTGTTTGACAGCTGGGATCTTTCCAGTTGACACTCTGGATTCTTGTTTTTCTAATTGGCACTAATGTGTTGTTGGGTTCAGTAACTAACTTAATAGACTTACTGTACAACTCTGGTTAGAATGGTCCACTTTAAGGATTTTTAAATACCTGTCAAACATGATGAGAAGGTGTTAACGGTGTAGCAGTGTCTGTAAACAAGCTTTCCTGCTGTATGTTGACTCAGGTTGGGTTACTAACCGACTTTAAGATGTTTCTTTCTTCCTTTCACTGGACACCTGTCTCTATTCTTTCTTTCAGCTAACCATCTGAACCGTTCCTCATCCTCAAAAACGGAGAAACCTGTATTACTTAGAAAATTCATTGAAAAGAAAAAAATATATCAATAAAAAATAAAACAGCGCTGGAGAATTGCAACATATGTCAGAAACCAGGCATCATGGACAAACAGAGGCCTTTCTTCAAGAGAAAAACCATCATTCAACTCAGCAAACTTGCAGCTCTCCATTTCTACCAGAAGATGGCACACTTGTGTGGAACTAAACATGGACGGTGCAGCGATATAGACGGACTCATGTCATTGGAGCCATTCTGTGTTTCATATCATATGACAGTTCTGAGGGAAACAAGAAGGTAAACTGGGGGTTTTGCTGGGACTCCTGTGAGTGTGTGTTTGGTTTAAGGTACTGTCATACAGGGATTTCAGATCTGCAGTGAGTGGTTGTGTCTCGGGTGGAAAATAAATATTTTGTCATTTCTTTCCCCACCTGACGGATACTCGAGCTACATGCAAGCATACATATGTTTCCAGCTTCAAGAAAAAAAAGAAAAAAAGAAAAATGACCGATGCCTTCATCTAACGTCTCTGGCCTTTTTGCCTTTATTCTTATCACTCTGCGAGTCACTTATCAGGTTTGGGAGGGAGTATTGGGACACAAGTATTAGATGTTTTGAGTATTGAGTGAGGAGCATGCAAGATCATCATTTAAATCTATGCATTATTTTTATTATAATTATTTTTATTGCTCCAAGCCATAAGGAATATTCCATTGTAATGGCATATAGGAGTCCTGAAACTTAATTGATTTTTTTTTTTGTTTATTTGGTACATTGTAATATTTTTTTTCTTGTTTTTTTTTTTTTTGTAATGTATTGCCTTACATTGATTCATAGATAAATGGTTCAAAAGGAAAACATTAAGTTAACAAATGTAAAACTGCACTGTTTGAATTGTAAATTATTTGTAGAAGACTAAACAGGTGTAGCATTTGGCCCACCTAGTGCCTTAACGTTTGGATATTGATTTTACTGCCATATCTGTTTGTTTGTTCTTTTTTTTCTCTCCAAAAACAAGACAAATCTTAACTCTTCCATCATCTGTTTTTTTAAGAAATCGCCACACATTTGTGGTTTTATCAGAATTCACTTTCTCTGGTTTAAGTATATGAAAGATATATATTAGATTACCTCTTTATGGACACACTGCAGTAGAGTTAGTGTGTCAAAACGAAGTCCCCCTGACTCGGTTCGTATCGTGACAATTTTTGGGATGTGTACTCAAAGCGATTCCACCTGTGTCATTGATTGTCCTTGTTACAATTACAAGTTGTGTCTCTTACACGGTAATGTCCCGTTAATGCAGACCCCCACAGTGTATATAATAAGAGAGACATGAGGATTATGGAATACCTCCGCAATCTTTTCATTTGTAACGTTTTGTTCAGTTAAAAAAAAAAAAAGCACTGGAACTATGATCTACTCTTGTCTTGGATAATTTGCATGGTTAATTGCATTGGAGTCCGCACTGATGGATATGTCAATAAACATATCTGTATCATTCATTGTTTACTAGTTTTCTCTGCAGATACCCATCATTGTTATATTTTTATCATGAGGTTAATGCATTAAACCATTTCAAAAGTTGATTACTAATTTAGGATTTTTTTAAATCGTGATGTCAGGTCCGAAGAGGCTGTATTGGCCTAAATCTACTTTAAAGAGGGGGGATCCAGCACACTTAAGGAAAATATGTACACAAGTTTGGGAAATTTGGTTCGCTTGAATTAAAGGTTCAGTGTGTAGAAATTGGCGACATCTAGTGGTGACGTTGCAAGTTGCAGCTGAATCCCCCTCACCTCAGACTCCAAACATGAAGAGACCCTGCAGCGGTCTTCAGTTGTCATAAAAACTCAAGTGTTTAGTTTGGACGACTGTAAAAAAAAACAAAAACATGTCGGCGGCCGTAGAGAGGCCCCATTCTGGATGTAATATAAGGTATTTAAATATAAAAAGCTCATTCTACCACAATTCTTACAATATAGATGTTTGCACACAAGTGAAAATATCACGAGGATCATTTTAAATTCAATTTCTGTCAATAGATCCTTTCACCTACATCTGACACACTTGGACCTTTAAGTTATTTCAGCTTTTTGCTTATATGTTGCATAGACTAAATGAAGACAAGAGGGTAACTTATGGAATAGGTCAAATTCAATATGGGATATAAACCTTTGACAGAACACACGTGCTCAGGCAGCTTTTACTGTGACCGAGCCTCAGAATGCACAGTTGTGTGTTATATCATAGACTGTATATAAAGTATAATTTATATATCATGATATTTACTCACAGTCCCTGGTTGTGATCGTGTCCTGGACGATCTGGACAAACTCTCTCTGGGTGTGTTTGGTCTGCTCTGGGTGCGCAGTCTGCAGCAGGCCGGCGGGTCGATGTCAGAGCGCGTCGATAAGTTCCCAGCGTGTTGTTGCAGCGTCATTGTGTTTGAATGAAGTTCAGACCGAGAATTAGCCAAAGTCTCCATTCGCGCCCCGGTGGATCGAAACAGAGACAAGAAAAACAACGAGTCGAGGAAGTGAATCGTTGCCAAACATGCCGGTGTTTACAGGTACGAGTTCTCTCCCACGCAACACACGCACTGCCACGGAAAAACAGGATAAAACCACGAATCCTTACACGTGTTTGTTAAGTGCAGCAGCAGCAGCGTACATTACGTTAGCTTAGCTAGCTGTAGCGTGATGTGCAGTTAGCATGCTAACGGTAGCAGGCAGTGAGCTCTTCTTTAGGGCACGTGTGGAGTTGTTAACAAACAAAACGTGGACGCAACAGAAACACAAACCACCGTAACACTGTCGGGACCGTGTTGCTGTTTATTTGCGGGTTTACGGGATGTGCTGTGGGAAGCCGGCTATGCTAACTGCTAATCTGACACAGCCCAGAAAATAGCTAGCTATCTGTCAGCTAGCTGTGTTAGCCGAGGAGAGCCCAGCTAGCTGAGGAGGCTTTCATAGTTATGGAAAGTCGTCGTTTCTCGTCGCAGTGGAGTCACTCGGTTCACTGTGCTCGTCACTTTAACTCGTTTCTGTCTAAAATCTGAAGCAGCGTGAAAATAACCGACTCACGCCTCTTAGCTCGGGTAGCATTGCTAACAAAGCTAGCTAGCCATATCATGAGTGTACAGTTCGTGAGCTTTTCAGTGCAGCAAGTTGGGGAAACAACAACAATGCTGGAACAGAAACGAGTTTGCGTTTTATAAAAATAAATGAAAGCTTGTGTGTGTTTTAAAAGTCATGTCGCACCGGGTCGTAAATTGTCCGTTTTGAAAAAGCTCTGTTTGTTAGCCTTCACTTTATTAGCCTGTCAGTGCTTTAGCTGCCGTGTCGTACATGGCAGCAGGTTGACAGTCGATCTGACATGTGTGTGCTTCTGTTTCCACTGTCTCTGCTCCAGTCAATGTGAAATGGGGCAAAGAGAAGTTCGATGCAGTCGAGCTGAACACTGAGGAGCCTCCCATGGTGTTCAAGGCTCAGCTCTTCGCCCTGACAGGAGTTCAGCCAGACAGACAGAAGGTCATGGTGAAGGGAGGCACCCTGAAGGTATTTACCCGAACAACACACGAGACTGTGGTTCTGAAGTGATCAAACACTGGGTTTCTCTTCACAGTGAAGGATAAGGGCGGCAGTTTATTTTATCACTGTCAACAAATGCAGTGAAAACACCCAAATCAACAGTCGGTCTAATGATGAACTGATCCTACCGAAAAAGGTTGTCGTTCGCTGTTGGCTGCAAATTAAGAAAAACCCACGCAAATAGAAAAGACACTTGCAGATTAAGAAAACAACTTCATCAATGTGACGACACATGCGCCGCAAAAAGTCCCAACTCATGCAAAAACTGAAAACAATGGCTGCAAATAGCAAAAGCGACAGTGGAAATGTTCCCAGGGAAACCAGAAAAGTGATTTATCACACCGAGGAGTAGCAGACTTCAATAACCTCCCCTTGGGTCCCCTGGAAACAGTTCTGGTGTCGTCATCCCACAAATGACACAATAAGCACCAAATATTTATTAATCCACTGATCCAAAAAAAAAACAAAAAACGAACAAACAAAAAAATTCAATTTCAAATGTACAATTGTATTTCACTCGAATAGTGTTTGTTAAAAACTATGGTGCAGCTGTTGTAGGAATTGATTGAGACTTTTGGAAAAATGTAACTATAATTTTGACAACTTAAAAACAATATTGGGTTTGTTCTTTTTTTTTTTAAATGAGATTTGATGACATTAAAATGAATAAAGTTTTTCAGGAGCTAATCTGTGTTATTTCAATTCCAGGATGATGAGTGGGGAAACATCAAACTGAAAAATGTGAGTATTTAAGCTTAGTTTTGGAGGAATACACTGTAATAGGCAGTTCTTGGTTGGCATAGCATTTTAAAAAATACATCAGCAAGTTTCAGTGTGTTTCCCTAATGTTTGTAGGGAATGACTCTGCTGATGATGGGCTCAGCAGAGGCCCTGCCTGAGGAGCCTGCTGTCAGGCCTATGTTTGTGGAGGACATGACTGAGGAGCAGCTGGCCTCAGCGGTGAGTAAGACCCAAAATTACCAGTACGCCTAAAACAAACATGGTTGATTGTTGCTTCCTGCGCTAACATGGCTTTTTAAAGGGTGTTTTCCTCAATATCACTTTTACCAAGTGGAGAACATAATAATAAAGATATATACTTACGTACCCATGTTGCATCACCTTAACATTTGTGCGCTTTGACTGAAATGTAGTCAGATATGTCACTGGAGAAACAAGTGATGATTTTCTTGATTTTCTATTGAGGACGTTGTACCAGGTTTCTGTGTTGAATGTAAGGATGATGAGGGACCAGTCAAGTTTTATAATATCCAGTCTGATATTAAAACCTTTCTCTTCAGGAGAAACATGCACTGTTGTCCCTCTGAGTTCCTCTTAGCCGAAATGGAATGAGAGTCACTGATTTGATTACCTGTAACGATGCCAGCGTCTTAAGTGCTTCAGTGAAAGCTGCACAAATGTAATCGTCTGATTTATTAGCAGAATGACTCACTGTTGCGACTCAGTACAAATGGAAACTCTGGGACGCTGGAAATAAATCTGTTAATTAAAAACCTAAATTAAGTAACAAACATTTTTTTAATACTGTGGTGTGGGATGATTTGGCAGTATGAACACTTTAAGGGTGTGTTGAAACCAAGTGACATGCTGTTCTACGTATTGTCATCACTCAGAAAAACAAGTCTGTGTACATTAAAGCTCGGTTAATGACATAGAAGAAAAACAATTGAATCTCTCTTTTATATTCTGTCTGTATTTTACCATGGAACTTATCATTATCACATATCCATCTGTTTCAGATGGAGCTGCCTTGTGGGCTGACAAACTTGGGCAACACCTGTTACATGAACGCCACCGTGCAGTGTTTGCGTTCTGTGCCAGAGCTCAAAACTGCCCTCAGAAGGTTGGTTTTGTGTATCAGCTATTTACTCTCAGTGACTGTTCTTTTGTTGTTGGTGTTATTTTTGCAATTGCTAGACCTGCTGAAATCCCCTTTCTCCCTCTGCAGGTATTCAGGTGCTCTGCGATCCTCAGGGGCAAATGCACCATCACAGTATATCACAGCAGGTATGAGCCGGAGCGAAATCACATGTTAACATTAATGTCTTCAATGTACTTATACACAAAATATATATTTGCCTCCTCAGCCCTTCGTGACTTATATGAGACCATGGATAAGACCTCCTCCAGCCTCCCACCTATTATTTTGCTGCAGTTCCTTCATATGGCCTTTCCACAGTTTGCTGAGAAGGGGGACCAGGGACAGTACCTCCAGCAGGTGAGACACCCAGTTCTCCTCTCCTTACGAGGGGTGGTGAGTTTACCGGCTTCGTCACTGGTGTCATGTTCTCCCATGACCTGGATTTTGCAATACTGTGACTCCGGTGACAAACACACACTTGTTTTGGTATAAACCGGGGAGATCTACCTTCCACAACATCCGATGAACCTACACATGCAGTATGCTCATTCAGTGTAATGTGGCGCTGCACTTTACTGCACGCTGGACTTAAAACATTACATGCTGTTGATAACTTTCGCTGGTGCTGCAGAATGTCACTACTTCACATGACATTAAAACATGGCAGCCAGTTGCAGATGTGTGAGCCAAGCGCTGCAGTTGCTCTTTCAGCCACTACGAAAGAACCACGTCTGTGGTGACAGAACTTTGCCCTGATAGGAACACGGCTTCGCTGAAACATTTCATTGTGTTGTTTTGCTTTTCGTGTGTGTTCTCAGGATGCGAACGAGTGCTGGCTGCAGATGATGAGAGTGCTCCAACAGAAATTGGAGCCCCTAGAGCCAGAGACTCCCATGGAGGTAAACAAGAGTGTTTCTTTATAATGAAAAGGTATTAAGGGTTCTGTGAAATTACTACTAATAATTACTATGCTTCTTTCAATCTTAAGACTGACACTGAGAGCGGAGCTGCTTCCGCCTCTTCAAAGA